AAAATAATATAATTAGAACAATAATAAAATATAATATATAATCATATTATATTCCATTATGCATGGATAACTAGAAGTCAAGCTGAATATAGTGAATACAATTATTCCTCGATCAAATTAGCAAAAAAATAATTTGATTCGGCTGCGGATCTTGTAATCGTTAAGTTTATGGCGTCTGCCACGCCTTCTTCACGGCATGAGCTCAGGCTATGGAAATCGATGTTTTCCGATTAACTATGCCTCAATTACTTCCACTTGAAAACTAAGGTAAACAGTGATCCAATACCAAAGCCAACTGATCTTTGTTTATGCATATATATATTCATATATCCTCTTCTTCATATTAGCTTAAATATTTGCATAAACAATTGAGCATATAGAAGACATAGCAGACGCCTTTTAGCCAGGTTTTCAGTTGCAATGCAACTCTCAGTTTCAAATTGCAAGTCTCTAGATAAAAAAGCGCTTTTCGCTTTTGCTATGCATAGAGAGTGAAACAGCAGGACAAACATTCCACTTAGCTGAGCGTGAACAGAGTAGAGAATGCAAAGGGAAATAAATAACTAAAAAATACAAATGCCTTAAATAATTTGAAAAACAAAACTATATATAAAGAAAAGAATTTTTACTATGCCACTCTCATTCGAAGAGGAGAAATGAATGCATAAATGTATATATAAACAATAAACAAAATAAAGAAAAGTGCAAAGAAAAACCCAAATAAAAAACATGAAACAAAATTGCAAAAAGCGAATTTTAATTAAATGTGAAAAATAAACGAAAAAAAAACGAAAGCAACATAAAGCGCTATTATAATTAGATTAAAGCAAACATAACTGTAATATAATTGAATTAAATATTTCATATACATATGTATATTTATAAATATGTATATAATATACATAAATCGATTTTAAAAGACGCAAAAAAGCTGAAGCTAAAAATAATTTAACGCTCAATTAAATTGAAACTTGGAAGCGAACTTTCACAACATTTGCAATTAAAATGCAATTAAATTGTGCCCAAATCAAATTAAATCTTCTGTTACACACACACGCACAGACACTCATATATATGTATATTTACAGTTAGTTGTTTTGGCTCAATGACAACAGCAATAAATAAACAAATTGATGGCTCAGTAATTGAATATAGTTTTCGCATTTATATATAGTATTTGGTTTATTAAACAAACTGCATTTACCTGTGCCCCGTTGTTGTTGTTGTTGTTGTGTTTGTTGTTGCTGCTGTGTGTTTATTGTGTTGTATTGTTACAGTGTCCCACACAAACACAAACACACACACACACACAGAGGTAGGTTTATTAATAAACGTTTGGCATACAAAGCCACAGCGACATAGAACAGATAATGAAAATCGCGTATACGCGCCGTTGCCCGCGGCTGCCACAACGTGTACATGCATGCACGCGTGTGTGTGTATAGGTGTGCTTCTATACTTATGTGTGTGTGTGTGTGTGGCACGCTTTTGTATTTATTAATAACAAAGTAATCAGACATTGTAATCTCCTCGCAAAGCGTATTACAGCAGTCATAACAATGCCAGCTCAAGCAAGTGCTCGCTCTCGCTCCCTCTCCCTCTCACTTTTTTTCTGCTCTCTCTGTCAATGCTTTTTGCTTTGGTTTATCCGGCTACTGTTGCTGCTGCATCCTTAGTCAGCTCCTGCGGCTTTTGTTGTTAGCTGCGGCGCACTTCCGCCTCAAGTGGCAACAATAACAACAACAACAACAACAAAATGATTTCATAATATTTATCAATTTGTTGTTGTTTTGCTTTCAATTTTCTATATACATTTTTTTTTCGTTTGCATTATTTTCTAATTTGACGTACCTAATTCTCCTTTCTCCCCTCACTCTCTCACTCATTCCGCTTCCTCTCTCTCTCTCTCTCTCTCTCACACCCTCTTTGGGCTTTGATTTCGATTTTTGCATTTTTAATTTTTTTTGTTTGGCTTCAATTTGCGTTGATTTTGCTTTGGCGCCTGATTGCCTATATTGGCCTATTGGCCCACACAACACTGGTGCGGGTGTGGGCGTGGCGCCATATTGATGGGCTTATGGCGTGTTTATGAGCCAACACAACAAATTGCCAACACACAATCATTTACTTGCGCCGTCCGTCTGTCTTTATGTTATTGCATGGAACATTTCACATGAAAATTGCAGTAAATGTTTTTCTTTTTGTGCTCAGTGTCTGGGCCACGCCCAGAGCGCACGGCCGCCCTTAATTGCAGCTGAACAGTGGGTCAAACTAATAAGCAACAAATTAATTTGATTTGCATAATTGTGTTGGCTTTTAAGAGACAGAAGGAAACGGAATGAAGGCTATTGAGGCAGGGACATCGGGGCGTATGATTAATATGCAGAAGAAACCTTTACTGGCAACGGCTTGCATTCGCATTTAAATAAGTGTTAACTATTGTTTCGTTTTATCTCTGTTTTCTTTTGCAGCTGTCATTTGTAATTTAAAATACAACAACAACAACAACAACAACAAAATCCAACCACAAAAAGGCATAAAAAAGCTGTCAAGCCGCAGCAGCAACAGCAACAGCAGCAAAAATTGAAGCGACAACAGCAACAAATCAGTTTAATTTAAATTTTCCCTTTTTTCAAACAACACACAAAAAGTGTGGGCGTGCGTGTGAGTGTGTGTGGGTGTGTGTGAAAAGGGAAGTCTTTTTTTTCTGTTAAGACAAGACCTTCTCTTGCGTCGACCCAAAACAAACAGTAAAGAAACAAAATAAGAAGCGAGAAAAAACGCTCGACAGCTCGAGACGTGGGCCGACGGAGGAGCCTGTAAAAAGTATTTATTATAATTATTTGGGATATTTTTCATTTAAACGCGCTTTTCATTTGCCGCCACAAAAGCTGAGTAATAAGAAATGTTTTAAAATGTACAAATAAATAATCAGAAAAACCCAAACAAAGTATAATAACGAGAAGAAGAAGTGAAACGTGAACAGTCGCAGTATCGTGGAGCAGTCACGAGCAGCGGCGCTGCCGATAACGCTGCATACTTAGTGGCATCAGACGTGCCGGCACCTGCCGCAACAGCAGACCCATTAGACAGGTATGCAAAAGCCACACATTAATTCTCATTCCCCGATAATGCCCTGTAAATGGAGGCAGAGTGTGCCAGAGTGGGGTATGCTCTAGATGGATATGTGATATGTGATGAAGAAGCCTTGAGTGAATGTGAAGAGCTAATGCTATATATTCCGTATATGTTTGATACTCCTTCTTCTTATACGATTACCTTTTTATATATGTATATCTGATAATACCCTGTAAACTTGGGGAGTGAGTAAGAGTGGAATATACTGTATTTTATTGCTTGGGATTGGGACAACAGAAGCTTTGCTTAACAGTGACAAAATGGATCACGGTCTGTATAGTGTCTGTATAGTCTTTTAATACATTCTAAGCATTCACAGGGTGTATTAAAGTAGGGTATATTCTAGTTGTGAATGGACGTGCTAATGAAAGCATTTTTGATTGAATTGGAATGATAAGAGCCGCTTCTATATATACTACATATTAGATACTCCTTTTTATTCGATTTAATTCACTTATCTATCTGTCCATCAGAGGTCGCATAGCTATTCATGTATAAACAGTTAGCATGTCATAGATGATAAGTTGGGTTTAATGAATTCAAATAGATACAGTCGAGCCTCAATAATTTGAGGCTAAATCAAAAAACCGCAAAAAATTGAAAAAAAAAAAAAAAATTTTATCTCAAAAAAATCTTTCTTGATAATTCTCGATAGTTTGAAAAAAAAATCGAAAAAAAAAAGAAAATGATCCCCTTGCTAATTCGAATTATCGGAACTTGACTGTATACATTTTCAAACAGTTAGATATAAAGAGATAAGTTCGATTCTGTTCTTTCTTTTTCTTACACCTTTGTCTGTTTCAATTTACCGATAAATATCGATTCTTATGGTTTAAGTATGTAAAATATGATCAATTCAGATACTCTATATACTGCTTTTGCATAAGAGTAGCTCGACATATAGAAGAGCTGAACCTATATAGACGATTGTTGTTGTCTGCTTATACGTTTAAATTTCAGTTCTTCTATCAGTCTGTGCATCTTTTCTGTCAGTCACTCTTCCATATCTCCTTAAATACATTTGTATCTGCATATCTGCCTCTGCTTCTGTCTGTCTGCCAAGCTATTTCTTTTGTCGAGCTACGGCCACAGCCTGTCTTTGTTGCTCACAGACTATCTTTTAGTCTATCATTTGTATAATCTTACTTAATTCGGGCAGCAGGTCAGCTGCGAGGCTCTCGGCTATGGCTTTTGGCTTTAGCTTTGGCTTTGTATATTTTGGCTTTGTCTTTCTGAATTGTGCTCGGATTTAGTTAATTCATGTGGTGCAGCTTCGGCTTTCGCAGCAAAGCGTTTAATTATTTAATTTTGTTGCATGCTGCATACGCCTTGTTTGCCACCAGTTGCCGCAGCAAAAGGCCACGTGCCACTCATTTCACTGGCTTTCACGTGGATTTTAGTCAGTTTTTTCTTTCGGTGGTTGCTGTTGCGGTTCACTGTCTGCCATTGCTCATGTCAGTTGTGGTGCGGGTGTGTGTGTGTGTGGGTGGGTGTGTGGGTGTATTTACGCTACGAACTATGTTTCAGTGTTGCGGCTAGCTGTGCGTATGCTTAATATGAGCTCTATAAATTATTAAGTATACGTAATGAGCTAGTAAATTAGTTTGTCAAATTTAATAAAAATAGAAAGCAGAAAATATGCCCAAAATATCGAATATGAAATACCCTGCACTAAACTTAACTCTATTGGTAAAGTAGCTATACGATATAAAATTTACCTTGTTGATAAATCATTTGAATATAGGGTAGTTCTAGATAAAAGCTTATTTTTCCAACTAATCAAGTATTTATGTACGGAAGAGATACTTCCCTCTTCGCTTCACACCAACCCCTTTACAAAGGATATAAACCTCAGCTGGCAGCACATGAGCAAAATAAAAATGCATTTTGCACAAGTTTCGCTTTTAGCTGCGGCTTAGCGGCACGGACAGGTGCCAAGAGCAGGTGCTCAGTTGAGGATTTCCAGGCAGCGACTCGGCGGTCTGTAGCAGCAATTAGTTAACGTAAAGTTGATGTTGCTGGCTTGGGCACACAGGCTTATGTGATTTGTGTGTCGACTTTGTGTTAGTTTTGACTGTTGCCCTTGTGGGTTAAGTAACGCTCAAAGTTGGGCCAAACTTCCTTTACATCAATGGTGGATACAAGTTGGCAAAGTTCTTGATATTAACATGCTGTCGGAGCTGGTAATAAAGCATTTACCTGAACAATATATATCAGAAATTAAGGAAACAATAGATATGAAGGCAAAACCAACTTTTTCTACCCTGTAAAAGTGAGCCTGTACTCAAATTAATCAATATTATAATAACAATAACATATGTTCATTCAACACATAATAAACAACACAACGTATGCCTAGAAACGGGCACATATATTAATCTGAAACTAAAATCAGCTAGGGTATCTCTCCGTGCATCAGCGGATCAATTATTCAAATCAATAGGAAAACCATAAACAAAGCAAAGCCACATTGAATTTAATCTGTGGCTAATTGGAGAGAACACGCTGCTAATTAGTTGTCTGCTGCTGTTCTTGTGGCATGTTGCTCTCTGTGGCAGCTACAGTAATTACTCATTGATAAAGGTTAGACAATTCATTTTTGCCATTCATTTCTATAATTAATAATTGAATGATGTTGTATTCGATGTGCGTTTAAAGGTCGCCCAAAAAAACAACTAATCGAGCATGGAGGGCGTTAATTTATTCATTAGATTTTGCTGCATATCTCAATTCATGCCGAATTAGAGAGAGGGCGAAACAAAGAGAGCTAGTGAGGGAGACACGAGGGAGGAGGGAATTAGAGTAGAGTGTAGACACTTGCTGCTAAATACATTTATGCTATGCTTGGCCAATATGCTTACACACGTTCAGAGAAATGAGAAGAGTATATCAGTACGGATACAGTTATGAAGATACAGGTACATAGATACAGAAACGCAGATACAGATACAGATACACAGTTACATAGAAAAGATAGACAGAGACATAGATACAGATACAAAGATACAGCTACATAGATATAGATACGCAGATAAAGATACAGATACATATGCATAGATACAGATCCATGGATACAGATACAAAGATACAGACACAACGATACAGATACATAGATATAGATACAATTATACAGATACAAAGATACAGATACAAAGATACAGATACAAAGATACAGATACAAAGATACAGATACAACGATACAGATACAAAGATACAGATACATAGATACAAATACAAAGATACAGATACAAATATGCAGATACATAAATACAGATACGCAGGTGAAGATACAGTACAGATGCATAGATATGGATACACAGATACATAGATACAGATACATAAATACAGATACAGATACGGATACATAGATACAGATATACAGATACAGATACACAGATACAGATACATAGATACAGATACGCAGATGAAGATACAGATACAGATGCATAGATACAGATTCATAGATACGTATACATAGCTAAAGATACAGACACAAATACATAGATACAGATACATAGGTAGAGATACAGATACGGATACATAGATACAGATACACAGATACAGATACAGATACACAGATACAGATACACAGATACAGACACACAGTTGCAGATACGCAGATGAAGAGACAGATACAGATACATAGATATAAATACGTAGATACAGATACACAGACACATATGCAGATACATAGATACAGATACACAGATGTAGATACATAGATACAAATACATAGATACAGATATATAGACACAGATATACAGATACAGACACAAAGATGCAGATATTGTATGCTCCACCGACTTATCCTTTTTCACATATTCTAGCGAGTATTAGGCGGCCTATATTACCTGATTGCAGCAGCTCTTATATGGTTCTGGCATTCCTTAAGCTAATCCCAGCTACAGTCTTAATTCCTCTTTCATGTCTTTGACATTGTCGCCACGTGCAGCGCCCCACGGTCAGATGTCCTTGAACTTTTCAACGTACGTGATGTGCTTTAATTTAGATCTACTCTGACACACACACACACACATGCAGACGTGTGTGTGCAGCTATGTAAATGCAAAACGCATTGGCCACTGTCTGTGGCAACTGCTGCAGTTCATAAAACCCGCTCGAAATTAAACAAACAGCCACAAAAATTAACCGAAAATATTATTCTGTTTATTTGGTTTGGAAAATTTTTGGCATGCACACAAATAAGCAGCAGACAGACGACYATTGAAATTGTTCCGGATTGGCTGTCAGTCAGTGGGTCAGTGGTTTGCAGCTGCTGTGGGTCAGTTGTGCAGCGAAATGTTGATTGAGAATGCGATGCAATGCAATGCAAAAATGTGCCAAGATTCTGTGTGTTTGTGTGTGTGTGTGTGCTTGTATGAGACTAGGCACAAGGTAAAAAGAAATAAATCAAGTGCAAGAAAGAGAGGCGAAATGATAGTAGATCGAAGCTGAAATACTCTACAAAATTGGCTAAAAAAGCTTGACTTGATTCGGATATCTTGCAAGGAATTAGACTTTGACTTAAAGAAAATTTCAATTCAGTTTGCTTAGGCTTGTGCATAATAAGATCTAGTCTAAAGATTAATGTTTAAGACACATATTTATATTTTACCTTTAAGTTGATCTCAAGCCCAAACACAAATTTTAATCTTAAATGGAGTTCATTCAAGGGAAGGAACAGCCTCATATGCAAATGAAATGATCCTTTTGGCATTTCAAATTCAATTCATGACCAAATTGTAAGAGCCTCTTTCTCTCGCATTAGAGGCATAAGAAAAAGCTGTCGACATTCACACAAATCAATGATGAGGCAGCTGCCTTCAACTTGGAACTGGCGCCCGTTCTGGCTGGCTGCCAAATCGGGCACTTGACGGGGCCAAAGGCGCTGGCTCAGACCTCGGACCACGGACCTTGCTCTCCGGCCCAAGGCACCAGGCACCAGGCACCAGGCA